CCGGGCCGGGCCGGCGCCGCCTGGCGGCTCCCGGGAGCGGCCCCGATGGCTCCCGCGGGGCAGTCGGGGACTGAGGGTTTCCAGCCTCCTCATAAACGCCCGTGGTCTCCCTGGTATTGTCAGGCCGTGCTGCAGAGGTCGTCAGGAAGAGCCACCTGTGCCACCCTTCTCTGCAGCCCTCAAAGAGCGCCATTCCCCCATTCCTTTCCAAGAAGTCTCAGCTGTGGCGTTTCCCAGTCCATTCCTAGCGCTCTCCCATGCTCTGGCTTCTGCAGGGATGCAGGGCCAAGGTCGCAGTTGAGGCATGAACCCGTGTCTGTGGTGATGAGACATTGGCAGCGAGGGCAAGGGCTGAGCAGGATCATGAACAGTCCCCTTGCCCAGAATTGAGGGTTAGGATGCCTGGGAAGCCTGTCCCTTTTCAGCCACTCTTCTGCTGGGCCAGAAATGACAAGGCGCTGTCCCACACTTCTGTAGCAATAACCTCTCTCTCAGATACACTAGAAAGTATTTGCCAGATAAGTCTCATTAATAAATCTAAAAGAGATACAAAACCTAAATTCACAACGATAGAAGGCACAAAATGTTAGTGTCACATTAATTTCAAGCATATTCAGGATTTGGAGTACACGAGAGTTCTGTGTACCTTTCTTTTCTCTCAGAATGTGTAACTTCTCTATAGACACATAACTATTAACTTACCTGTTTTTCATTAATGGAGTTCAAAGCTGCTGCTGGTCAACACAAACGTGGAAGAGCAAAATGGGGTTTCCTGAAAAGGCTGGGTTGGCTACATGATGCCCCATATATGACCAAGTAGCTCCGCAACAGCTTTACAAACCCTACATACAGTTACCCTGAAAAGGAGCACAGGTTTTGTGTTGCTTTACTGTAGACTGTTTTTATGGAACAAGCCATCAGCATTTCCCTGGTGTCACTTCCAGTGTCTGAGAAAGAGGAGCTGGACAGAAGCTGGACACATGCTCCCTTTCCTCTTCATGGACAAATGTTCAGGGGAAGGAGACAGAAAATTAAAGCCAAAAAGGAGTTAGTTGTGTCTCTGATGTTAACACTTGCAGCACCAGATCTGCAGAATACATGTCAGACTGCTCTTACCGCTGATCTGGACAACCTAAAAAATTATATTAGGTGGTACAAGAACCATTTAGTTTCCCTTTTTCTTACATTATATTAAAATTAAGTTTTTTATATGACTTAATAAGAGCTGTAACTTTTTGGTCACTGGGACTGGATGGGACCCAATCATCTCCTCAGAAAGCATGTCTCAGGTTCAGTGCTGTAGAAGTCACAGAGACTTCAAAACTGTACAGATAGAATAAAATGACTCTTCATGCAGCACCACAAAAAAGCAAACAGAATTTGCCATTGCATGCTTCAGCAGCAGCACTAGATGCCCAGCTCAGGTTTTGGAAATCATGGATCTGCTCCTTGTCCACTGATAGCCCCCAACAAAATAGCTTCTTGTCCCATGCTGTTTTTCTCATCTTTCAATACAATCCTCTGTAAAGCACCTTTATAGTGTGTGCACTGTGAAGCATTTTAGCAGATGTCATTGCAACAGCTAACCCAGGTGCTCTGAAGATGCTTCCCCAGTGTTCCCAGAGGATCTTCCTCCTCCACAGCTGTAACCCTGTTTTCTGCCCCACAAAGCCCTCTCTCCATCAGCACAGATGTCCTCAGCACCCAGAGGTGACCCTGACAGTAGCTGTAGCCACTGGTGTGCAGCAGCAGTCTAAGGGAGAGTGAGTAAAGGAACTAATTATTTCAAATAGAGTGGAAAGTTGCAAATAATGGGTTACACAGAAGGTTACCTGCTTTAAACCACCTTTTGGTGCATCTGCTTCTCTTCAGTGACTTTACACAAACTTTACATTTCAGGTGAACTGAATTATGCCCAAGATATGTTTAGGCATCTACAGTAGATAATGAAAATGTCAAAACCAGATGCTATTGTACTACAATCTGGCAGTCTATGCACAGCTTTCTGACATCTCTGAATATCATCATGCTCAATTTGTAAGAAAACAGCCAGCACATCAGCAGGAATAAATCAGCATCCCCACCGAAGTTCAAAACAGCCTCTTGCAACAAGCCATTGTGCTTAAGGTTGCAGTTTTCCCCATTATCTTCTAAACTCAGTTCCTCACTGACAGCTCCTACCAGAGACCTTGCTCCCAACCAGTTTGCTGGAGCTCATCCAGATGCCTGTGCCTGCCGTGGGAAGGGACACACCAGGCTCCAACAGAGGAGCACGAGTCTGTTCCACCAACTCCTGTGGATTTGAAAAGGGACGTTTCCAAATGCTGTCAGCACCAACCCTTCCATGCTGTTATTTCAGCTGACCTTTGATGAATGCTGGTGAACTAGAAAGAGAACAAGCCCCCTGGGAACATGGACTGCCAGCACCACCCACACCACTAAAGGAATGCCTGACACATGCACAGTGCCAAGGGAAAGCTGTGATTCTGTCCTGAGACAGCTGTCTGTCACAACAAACACCACCTCCCTCCCTTGCTCTGCTCGTATTTCCAAATTAAATAGGAAGGGAATCACCTCACACCCCCTCAAAAAAAGGCTTGGTCTTGTTCAAATAGAAACATGGGTTGCCTGGGCTGGCTCCAACACTAAATCTAATAAACAGAAGAACAGAGCTGAAATAAACACAGGAGAAGTTGCTTATTTTCTAAATAAGACTAAATTTATTCATTACCCTAGTAAAAACAAAGTTTGGATTACAAGTGTCTGAACAGTATAAAAGTACAAAACAGGTTCCATAGATTTCTAATACATTAATACAAAGTGCATGACTACTCATTTTGCATTACTACTGGGAATGGAAGAGGTGGGAGGGAGTAGGGGAAGCAGTTGGTAGTTGAAATCTAGCAATAAATAAATAAATACAGAAGAGATGATCCGTATCAGAGCACATCCACACTGCAGCCTTCTTAGGTGTACAGAATTACTGATGCTGAAAACACAAATTAATGAAATAGGTGTCTGCAAACACAGCAAGGACTCTTGCTCAAGCCCTTATTAGACGTGATCAACCTAGTTATGCCTTTATACAATCAAGTATCCATTATATCTGTGGCTGGACTCAATGGGCTTAGATCTTTTCCAACCTGAATGATTCTATTTGGATGAGAATAAAAGCAAGGTAAAGCAGCTTTGTCCTCCCTTAAGAACTTCAGTGTTTAGGAAAAGCAAAATGAGTCCAAGGAAAGCTCTAAGCTGTAAGGCTGTGATAAGTCAAAGCCCTGTTTCCCCTGATTTTCTTTCTCTCCAGAGATTGGCTGACCCAACAGGAGGAAAAAAGAAAGAAAAAAAAAAAAGCTTTGAGGGTAGAGGCTCCTCTTAAAACCTGCATATCTTTCCCTATCTATATTTTCATCTGCTAAGTATTCCTGTTTCAGGAACCAAGACTACATGGAAATCCAGTCCTAAACCCTACCCACCACAGTATTATGCCAATGACTCTCACAAAAAAGGAAAGCTTAGAATCATAGAATCGCTGAGTAGAAGGGACCCATCAGGATCAACTCCAACTCCTGGCCCTACACCGGACACCTACAAGAATCACACCATGTAATAATCCATTGTAGGATATCCCAAAAGAGTAATAGTAAAAAAAAAAAATCCTCCCTCCCCCTAAAACCAGGAAAAAAAACAACCAAACAAAAAGCAGAATTCCCAACTCACACAAGTAAAACCTTCATAAAGGAAGGTGAAGCAACTGGGAGCTAAAACTGCAGCACAGTCTTCCCGGAAGCTGCTTCCACCCTAGAGGCAAAGCAGAGTTTGAAGGAGTGTCACAACGATTTGCACATGAGCTTGTCTGGGAATCTGTGCAGAAAGTATTATCTTTTGATCACATATGCAAACAGAGCTGCTGCCTTGATTCAGAACAGCACCATTCTTAGCAGAACTTTTCAGATTCAATATTCACAGAAGTGTTGATGTGGCAGTTGCTTAAACAAACAAACAAACATAACCCCCAGCAAAACCCAAACACAGAAAAGCACTGCAGAGGGAAGGGTTTCAAAACAGTTATTGTGAATTCAAACCCCAGACTGCAACCAGATTATAACCCTGGACCAGAGCCTAATTTGCTTAGCAAGGGGTTTGGTTCTTTGTCAGGTCCAAAAGCAGGAGGAGTCTTGTTTGTGGTCACATTTCAGCTGCACTGGGCCAACAGAGAGCAGTTACTCAGTTCTGGCTGCCATCTACACCTGACTTGGGCATCAGGATGTTTCTTGGTCCATCTCTCTAACCACCAGGGGTTACTACACCAAGCCCAGGCTGCCCACTGCTGGCTTAAAAAACAATAGTAACCTCCCATTTTGCTATGTTCAGTTCTTAGGTAAATCTTAATCCTTAGCCAGGTGGAGAGCTCTCCCACCCCCTTCTCAAGAGCACTTTTATGCTGGAGGGCTTCTCAGATAGCTACCACTTGAAGTAGAGATGTCTGCAGATTACCAGTCTGTGTCACATGGGAGGGATGAAATATTTCTCTTTGTTATGTCAGTAGTATAGGGTGAAATCGCCACACCTTTAAAAATATATATTTATATAACTAGAGAGGTGACTTATAACATTTCTATGTATTAGTTAATCTTACTGACTCATACATGTCTAAGAATGAAATATTTTCTTGGGAATTTAGGAAGTTTGCCAACCAACTTTTAAAGAAAAAAAAAAAAAAGCCTTACAACCACTGCTTCTTTCAGTACAGAAACATGAACTACATATACTTTAATATACAAACCCCATCCTCATATTCACTTGGGAAGTGAGTGTGGGGGAAAATTAGACAACCTTGCAGCAGCATTCAGCTTTGCCAAGTGTTCCATAGCATCTTAAATATTATGTACAGTCTTTCTGAAAGGATACAAACTGGCTTCAGAGTTTGTGGAAATCGTAGCAGTAAAACCCAAAACAGTTCTAGGGAATAGTCTTTTGGCAGCATAGCAGGTGTCCAAAGTGAATAGTCACTTTTCTAGTATTTTTCCAGAGTAAGAGGATCTGTATAACCTTCTGCAGCTATCCAAGGAAGTCACCACTCCTCTTGGGTGGAGATTGCTGGAGATTGGGGCCCTTCTTGTTCTGGCTTTTCAGTGGTAGACTTTTTATTGCTACAACAAGGTTTGAAAAGATGAGTGTCTATGAGGACTTCTCCAAAACGCCCTTTGTAAATAATTCCACAGCAGACCTTTTGCCTGGAAGAAATGGCAGGGAGACAGATACTTTGTTTAGAATACACAGAATTCACATGCAAAAAGTATGTCTGACCCTAGACACTACTTTATTGAGCCTCCAGCCCAGAGGACAGGGGCAGAAAGATTGATCACAAACAGAAAACAAATCCGTGTCTAAATCAGCAACAGGTCTTAGGGAAAAAAAAAAACAAAACAAAAAACAAAACAACAAATAAAAAGCAAAAAACCCCAAACATGTCTATACAAAAACCAAGTCTCCAACTTTGCTTCCCAGAGAAGTTTCAGACACAGCCATCTGGTCTGAACTAACCTTGGCTACAATGCACTTGCAAATATTATTTGAGAGGAGGCAGCAAAGTCACAACAATTTCAATTGAGCAATTAGCTAAACAAGGGATTACTGTGTCACAACATGCAATAAAAGATAATAAGCTCAGGTCACAGAAAACCTTGTGGTTTTCCTCCCACTCCAGGATCTTGTTTTTTAGGGTTTTTCTTTTTTTTTCCCAAATGACTACCATCACAGGTCAACCAAATCAAATGCTATGTTTTGCTGGCAAGCTGGGAGCACTCTTCTATGTAGCAACATACCATATCTACAGGGCATAGTTTTAAGAAGAGATAATGACAGACCGCTACTGCCAAAACCAGCAAAAATATTTTCCAGCAACTGTTTTAGTGTTTAGGGAACTGAAGGTAGACAGGGGAAAATGTCTCTTTCCATGCATGAACAGACAGATGTTGTATGCCCTGTTACTTAAATGGTAACAAATCAGGATGAGGAGGCAGAATCAAACAGTATATATGCAAGGTGAGCTTGCTGCCTGCACAGAGGGCATGTTCTGCTGCTTTTTACCTTTTCCAGTATGTGAGATCTAGGAAGGAGAACACTGGTGTTCTGCTGGCCCCAGCGCTCAGCTCTGTGTCAGAGCCATCGTCCGACTGGTTACTGTAGCAGGGCGACTGAGCTGGGGAGGCACTTGAAGTTGTGCTGTGGGCATCAGAATCTGCAGGGCAAAGAAGAAATGCAAAGATCAGGACATGCATCCAACGACTTACCCTCCTGGGCATCAGAATCTGCAGGGCAAAGAAGAAATGCAAAGATCAGGACATGCATCCAACGACTTACCCTCCTCCTGACTTGTGGATTGGGAGCAGAGGCGAGATGCGTTTTAATTAACAAGAAAAACCTATCAATGATAACCCATTTATTTTGCCTGCTCTTGCCCATTTCAATATAGAGTGTCAGGATTTGTGAAACAGCCCTCAGAAGTGGAGACAGTCCTTGTACACGAGGGATTGGAAAGAGGTTCAGGATCAGGATTCAGCTTCTGGCTCTCAAACATAGCCTACACAGGCCACACTCTGAAATCACTAGGAGATCCCTCAAGACAGTGAAGATCTGTGTTCCAGTCTTTCTCATTCTTTCAGGTAAAGTGCTGCAAAGCTCTTCCCAATAGTGCATTATATATATATATATTCTCATTATGTGATAGGTAGTACTGAGCTTTTGCTGGATCAAGACCAGGAGCTACAGGCCCAGTGCAGACACACCTTAACAGTGTCTTGCTCTCCTACCTTTCAGCTGCCATCTCTGGCAGCTAATGACACAATAAATTAACTGCAGTGCCTTAAATGAGGACATAAAAGCTCATTGGGTCAGGGCCTTTACTGATTATTTGGAGACTTCTCCTTCTGACTAGGTAGGATAATTGAAAGAGAGAGAGAGATACCCAAGTCAGCAATAGTAAAGAAGCTGGAATGTTTGCTTTAGAAGAAAAGCCTTAAGTATTGACACACATTTAGAACATAACTGGCAGATGGTTTTGTTGGAAAGCTATGAATCCAAATCTGCTTGGAGAGTCCATGTGCTACTGGAAAGAAATCACTGAGACTGGCAGAGGAAGGTATAAGGAAACATGGTAGGAATTTAAGCAGGGGAGGGGGGGGTTTGTGTGAATCTATGTTAAAAAGTATGTATGGAAGAAAAATACTTTTTTGGGAAAAGAGAACTTAAAATGGCTATAGCACATTACTGAACGCAGGGAGAAGCCTCTTCCATCTTCAGTTTCAATGAGATCTTTGCCCAAGATGTTCTTTCTAGGGTTATGTCATTTAAGTGTGGAACATAAGCTACAACTGCCTGCACTTTCCAGCCAGACTCCTTGTGCCCCCTTGCCACTTCTCCACCTCTGTCTTGCAGCCCACCTTGCACACAAGCTCCTCCTTCTCATTCCACACCCTCCCAAAACTCTCAGAGGACAAGAGGCTGTAAAAACAGGGAGAGTCCAAACGTGGGAGTGTGCACAACCAAATCTAGAGGGTGATTCAGCTTGGCCAGTTAACAGTGGGCTGTGTTAGGGGAGGCTGAAGTTTATGGCTGAAATCTCTTTGGATCCACTTACTGTGCCGCTTGAATTCCTTTTGCAGTTTGCTGATTTGATTGCTCTTTATTCTGCTTCCAGAGAGAGTTTTCATTTTCTTTGGTTTCAATGTTGTTTTAAGGCTGGGTCCAGCCCTGGCATCTACCACCTAGTACAGAGAAAATTCAGGTTTAAATACTTGTGCATCATGCCCAGGGATTGCCCCAGTCAAGACACAGTAAGTGATTTGGCAGAAGGTGTTCAAAATCTCCTTAAGTTAATCCAAGGCAGTTCTGTGTACAGACACTCTTATGCTTCATTTAAATCTGGCTAAATCTCAGCCTCTGCAAGAGGCTGAGTCTGCAGGAAAACGCAGCAAACTACTTTAAAAAGCACATTTGGTTCAACTTTTGCCAACTTCCCATTTTTAAATCATTCAGTTTAGAACCAAATAATTTTTAAGCTAATAGAGGTTCAGTTAAGATTGTCTGCCAAGCATTTGCCCTGTATTTTTTTTAGTCATAAATTTAACTTTTGAGGAAAGCTAGTGGTAGTAATAACTATAGTTATGGCACCCATTACTATCAAGGCATCCTGGATAAAGATTATTATATACACAAGAAATCATGATCATCCTTCCAGCCTTAGGCCTGAATTGAATTAGACATATCAAAACAGAATATATGAGTGAAAATAGCTGCAAGATTATTAGTCATTGTAATTATCTGATTAAATGAGATTGATTAATGTGTTGCGTGAGCAAGTCACTTTGCCTGGTAAAGAAAAAAAAAAAACAAAAAGAACCGTTTTTGAATAAAGGCCAAACTTGAAATGTTTTTTGGTTTTGTGTTTTTTTGCATACTATAAGAAACTTTTGGATAAAGTTAGGAGCTTCTGAAAACAAGGAATTACAAGGTAAGTCAGTCTGTGACTGCATCTCAGGCTTGCATAATCACCATTTGCACATAAGCAGGTAGGAGCCACACAGCAGTAAACACTCCAGGAAGGATTTAGAGATGCTGAGGGTGGGAAGGGAGAGTGTGGGTGAAAGAGCAAACCCCAAACCCCTGCCAGCACCTCCCCTCTCCAGAAAGAGAAGTTTTGGGGCGGAAGAGAAATAAATTACTAACATGATTCCAGTTTTTTTTTGACCCTGCTGGTAATTTTTTCCATCTTTTCACCAAAAGCACACAGGCATTGCAAATATCTCCTGAGCGAGCTTCATGGAGCCTGGTAAAAACAAAAGCAAAGATCACTAAACAACAGTTAATAAAAGCACACCCCCACTTGGTAACAGCAAGAAGTAAATAAAAACTGATGAATAAGAAGGGTTTTGAAACACTCTTTTTCTGACATTACAGGTCACCTGGGATGCTCAAACAGTGCCATTTAAAGACCAGGTCTCACTTTCAGAAAGCATCTTCCACACAGAAATAAAAAGGTGTCACAATTCTGCCTCCCAGAGGGGCACTGAAAACAACAGTCCCATCACCTGCAGGTTTTGGAATCTTTTCCCCCAAAACCAAGACACAATTGCAGTGGATTGCTTACTTTGGAGCAGGAGGAATAATCATGTTATTCAAACATACACTTGGGAACAAACATCAAAAGCTTACTCATGTCTTAACTTTCCCACAGAGCTTCAAGGATTAGTAACAAACATCACCTAACACACTCCCACACAAGCACAGGATAAGGTTTCAGGAACAGCAGTCACTGGAATGACAGCAATACTTGCTCCCTCTAACAAGCTTTCCTCAGGAATCATCTCTACTGCTAATCCATGCTAAAAGAAATATAGCAGGGAAGCACGGTAGAATTTTTCAGCTAATTAAATAGGAAAACTTTGGATCATTTATAGCTGAATGAGGCAGGCTCAGAAAACCATTATTTGCCCAGTGTTTAGTCTGCATTTTTACCTTGGCAAACATATTTGAGATAGCACAACAACAGTGGTCCTGGTAAACTGCAAATTGCTTTACTGCAGTCAAAAAAAACAACCACCAAAAAAAAGAAAAACAATGGATCTGCACACAGTACACAGTCTTTGACTGCCAAGGACAGTAGTGAAGAAATATGATAAGGAAAACTGCCAGCACCAGACTTGTGTACCAAAATCCAAGGTAAATACAAAGCACTCTGAAGTTCAATGCATGAAAAGAGTGCTTCTAGAAAAAGTGGGGAAAATTTGTGAATTTTCTACAAAATTGCAAACTCTTCAAAAGTATTAAAAAAAATTCAAAGATCACAGTAAGTGGTACAAGAATAGATTTACTAATGCTTTCAAGAAACATTTCCTAACTGGAAAGCTAATCACCTTCCAAGATAATGGTTTTCCAATGAGAAGTTTTAATAACACATTGCTGTGTCCTATTAGACAAAAGACACCAATATTTGTAACAAGGTACTCTACAGAAACCCTGCTGAAACTACTGAATATTTGCTCATCAAGTCTTATCTAACATTCTTGAATCTTCAGAGCCACAGAAAGCTCCCATGGATCTGCAGAGTTCTTTGTTATGTAGCTGTTTACACCTCTATGGAACCAGCAGAAAATGCACTGAGAGAAGTCTAAAATCCTTGCACATGCTGGGAGGTGGGAGAGGCACGAGCCTGATCCTTTGGTGTTATGAATTACCAGCTCTCCCTTGGCAGTGACAATCAAATTGAAAATCAAATGGTATCATACACAGCAGCAGAGGATCCAGCCCCTCCTGGTCTGCCCAAGAAAGCTGTGAGGAAGCCAAAGGCAGCCTTCCTCCACCACTCCCCTCTGCTAACTTAATCTTTCAGGCTTTCAGAGCAAGGAGGACAGTACAGCAGGTTTTCAGCTTGGAGATCAATGCCAAAAATGCTGACTAAGGTGGGAATCTTACCCAAAACAATTCTGGAAATCCTTTTCATAACGTTTGCTGTCAGTGAAACGAGAACTGGAAGACTTAGCTCTGCAAATACAGCAGCCCTCTATACTCCGGTACATCTTCGGTTTGTGAAAGCCAAACATCTTTTCCTCCCAGCTGTACCCTGTGCAAACAAACAGAAACTGGTGTTAATTATCACTGTTAGATAATGAAAGGAAAAAAACTGCTAGATTAGGGCATAGTTTTTTTATCCCACGTTGCCTCAGAAGAACAGATGCACCTAGAATACAGTAGTTAAAGAAATTCTATAATTAACAGCTGAAATATTAAGCAATACCCAGCAGGACCCATAACAAGCTCATTTACTGCACAAATCTACTCCAAGGGCACATCTACAGGCAGCACAACCCAGATGTGCGAATGAAGCCAACCTGGCCACTGAAAGCATTGTGCATGTGGCAGAACAGGCTGCAGAATAGGCTGTGTGAACCTGCCCAAGCCCATGGACAAGGAGCTGGCAGCTGAACTCTGGGTCACTGAACTACTTCATCACCAACCAGGGGTGCTGGTTGGAAACACCCCTGGCAAACTCTGCTGAGAGTGAGTAGGAGTCATTTGAAATGAACTGCAGTCATACCCCCGGGGCTGTAGGGCAGACATACCTGAAAAGCTGCTCTAAAAACAGCAGGGTGGAGTCCCACCCAGCCCTCAATGGCCCTGTCTGCACTGCAGGACCCGGGAGCACTTCTCTGTTCTCAGGGCCTGGGTGAGCATCCCAGCTCCATGTCAGCACATGCTCTGTTCTCAGCCTCCTGCCGTCCCCACCCTGCTTTCCATGGGAAGGAAACCCAGCTAGGAAAGAAAGGGCCAGGGAGCAGGACCCTGGGGCACATCTCAGCATGTGCCTACCACACATGCCCTGCCAACAAGGATGGAACTCCAGTTACAGGGAAGTTGTTGCTTTGTAATCACCAGCTCTGCAAACCTGGCTCAAGCCCAGGAAGCCAAGAATGCCCTCCTGCTCTCAGGGATCCTATTCTTTTCAGTACACCAAGGCTGGGATTTGCCATCAGAGCAGGTATCATACAGTGGAGCCATCTTCCAGGCAGAAACTTCTCAAGTTAGTCACTGCAGTCACCATGACAGAGACCCTTCAACACATGCTGACCCCCCACCAAGCCAGTTCTCTCCTAAGTTGGTTATTCCCCAGTGCAGACCCCTGTCAGGCACAGCATAAGACGCTGTCAGAGCAAACAGGGTTCCCACAGCGCTTCAAAACCCAAACCAACACCTGAGCAAAGCTGCTGCTCTCCTGGCACTGGGCCTAGACACACAGCAAGTCCTCACAGGCCACACAGGCTCTGTCTCATAACGCAGGCAGGGACTGTTCCAAGATGTTCTCTTTTGAATAGACCCTGGTGCAAGGTTTGCCTCCACCACCTGCTGCAAGGAGCGAGCAGCCACCTCTGCTGCTCACCACGCACCAAGGGCTCAGAGAGGGGACAGGCTGCAGGAAGCCCCAGGAGAATAGGTTCCCACTGCTTTAAAAAAATTTAACCCTCCAGTGGTACAGAGAAAAATAATCTGAAGTCTTCTGTCTACACTGCCAGGACTTGCCACATCATTATGGCAATAAAATATTTTGAAAAGCAGGTTCAGGTGAGGTCAGAAACACACTTCCACAAAATGACCATACCCAGCATCACACTCACCCATCTGACGGGGAATGGTGTGCAACAGGAAAAGATCCCGTGCACTTCTGCAGGACCACAGCAAAAGCTAGGGGACCACCCAGCCCATGTACAGTCCTACACAGAGGTGAAAATACATCCCTCCACCCCAGAAGGAATATCAAGAGTACAGGAGCACAGCAAAATAAACATGCAATTTCCCACACTCCAGAGAACAAAAGTAAAAATCTTATCCAATATTGTTGGCTAATACTCAGACACAAAATCAATCAAGGAACCCATTTCCAGCTGAAAGTGTACATGCTTGCTTGCATTTCAGTCTAGCATATATGAGACCACCTGGGGCTCACTGAGGTTGTGGCTCTTTGCAATTACTACTGCACCAACATTTAGGAAGACTCAACTCTCCATAAAACTTGCCTTGACTTGTAGAGCCTGTTGATGGTAAGGGACTTGCTCAAGCTGAACGCCAAGGAGATCCTCCAGGCCTAGGAGAGAGATGGAGAGGATAAGTCCTTCCTTCCCTCCTGTCCCAGGTCACGCTGTCTTCCACAGGCTTAAGTGCTGAATTACTTTCTTCAGCACAATTACTTACTGCAGCACAAGGAGCTCACCTAGGGCAACATTCTCCCAAGGTTAACTTGTGCAAATATCCAGCAAAGTCACCCCAAATAGTGTCAGGCTTTTTAGGAGATTCACTGCTCCCTGTATTAGTACAGCACTGGCCTGAAGGCAGGGGTAGATGCAGTAAGTAAAAGAAGGTATCTAAGTAGTGACCTGCTGAATGGACTCATGGAGGGATGGTTAAGTCTCAGAACTACTCCAGCCTCTGCTGGACGTGTAGCAAATTAATGCACAGCCAAATCAGGTAAATATTCCTGGCTTGTCAAGAAAATAACAGAGTATCTAGGCAAATGCTTTGAGTATTTTGTTTCTTAGCACCTTCTTCAGGAGATACTCTTGAGGACATTGCTCAGCAAGCCTCTGGAGATCCAACAACGTGCTCACCTGGGAATTTTCAACTTCCAAACAGCAATTTTAGAAGTTGTTTGACTACTCCAATGTTAAATCTGTGGTCTGGTACTTTTCTTTAGAAAGTCAAAGACTAATCGCAGACACAAAGTCCACTTGTGCTGCCAAACTCAAGCAGCAAGAAAATCTTGACTGCTATGTGGCAAGAAACAACTACCAACAATGCAGTTTTCTTTCTAACCAAGTTTCTTCCACGAATCCAGACAGTGATAAAGTGATCTCTGTGATAAGGTGTCTCTGTATAAATACCACCGCAGAATAAGATGCACGTCTTATAATCAATGTCCTGGCAAAGACTGGAAAACACATATATTCTGAAAATATTTTGGCTTGCATCATTGCTGCCATTTTCACAGGAGCAGCCTTTCAACACCATCCTTCAATAGAAGGGAAACTAGTGCCATCTGTTTCCCACTTGATGAATGGTCAGCAATGGTATTGCCACACATAATGCCTGAATGGGGAAGAGCTAGTAGCAAAACCACAAGTTAAACAGATTTCTCTGACAACTGCATCCAAGTGCAGTTATAAATGGAAGGCGTCAGTCCAGTTACACATTTAATCCTAAACAGTTGCCATTTAATCATTATACACTAAATATTCTGTCAGCTGGAGAGCTTAATAGCAAATATGGACAAAGAAGTAAATATGACTGTGTCCTTTAAAAGGTTTAATTTGAAAGCTTTGCAATTTAGATCTTGAATTAGAACCAGGGATTTAAGATGCCAGCTGCCCTAACACCTGAATCTTAGCTGTGGAACTTTAACCACGTGAAATTTGGGATAGATAAAAAATATGGCAAATAGAAAGTAACTTGCCTAGAAGTAAAAAGCATTACACAACATAATTCTGCCAAATCTAAGCATGTTATTAATGCTATTTAACGTTGTTATTATTTGCCAATTTAAGCATGTTATTAAAATATATCAGCAGCTGCACAGAAGTGAGAAAGACAGATCTCCAAAAAAGAATCAGAAATCTTAACAGTGTGTTATCTGTCATTCTGCAGAAATTAAGATTTATCTGCAGTAGTGGGAAAGCAGTATTCCCCCAGGCCAGGGAAAGAGTGATCCTCTTCCCTCCCTGGTCTCCCTCTCCACAGCTCCTCCCTGCAGAAGTTGCTATTCATTCAAGTTCTGCTTTATACAACTGCTTTAGCAACCTGAATGGACTCAGAAAAGTCTCCAGGAAAGTGCTCTCTCCATTCTTCTGCCCTCTCACTTTTGAAAAAGCAGCATCAAAAATAGAAACTTGTCTTGCAAAAGAGAACAGTAAAGTCAGAAAGAGAAAAGTAGTGGGAAATCTAAAAAATCCCCACACCCTGCTTATTACCTTAGTGAAAGGCTGGTACAAAGAAGCATGTGTGTGAAAATAGTTTCATGTTTTTGTTACCTGTCAGGACTAGAATTTAGTGTTTAGTTTTCTTTGCAAAATTTAATTTGATGATACAAATTAAAAGGAGGCATTGCTTCAGATGCTCATTAAGTTTTCAAGTCAGGGGAGAACTTCTGAACTCCTTTAGATCTTAAAGTAAGCTGAGCCACTTTCATTTGCTTTTCCAGATTCCTTCTGCATTCTTTCTGATCACCCAAGAAGAATGAAAACCTTTTATAATAGCAAGGACAGAATTCCTAGAAGACAGGCATGTCTCCCTTTGTAACACAATTACCAGGCCAGTGGGAATGAACACGCTCACCTGCTTCTTGCAAAGCTGAAACAGAAACATTCCCTGGAGTTATGGGAGAGCAGAGGCATACCAGTCCAAATACTTAGTATCCTCCTCTCTCCCCATCTCCCCTCTCTGGCCTGCAATCATTCCCCCTTTGCACAATCCAGAACTGCCAGTACCTTTGTCAGAGAGGAGAACAACGATTTGATTTCCCTTTCTGTGTACACAACAGCCTTGGCACAGCCTCCCTGAAGCTGGGCTAAAGAAAAGTACCATCATCTACCCTACATATGTTGATGCAGCCGGTTCCTGTCAGTAAAAATCTCACAATTGTCATCCCTACATTATTTCACTGGAATAAGAAACATAGCCAAAATTACACTTTTTTTTTTTTTCTTCTTTTAGAGGGAACTAAACAGATGCCTTAATATAGAATGTACATAGGTACTCTGGCTTTTGCATCTGCAAGAGCATACACCCAGGCACATGCACATACATGAAAAATGCTTCCAGAGCTGTGTACGGCGCCAGAAGCAGAGTTGCTCATCTCAATAAATTCTTGAGCCTGTCCCTCTGCTGAAATAAACTGCAGTACCTCTATTGCAAATCAGCTGTAAGACAGAGAATAGTACATCAACAGAGGAACTGATCTGTATCAGAGAAGCAACATAAACATACCTCCCCGGAGTTCACAGGCTGCTGCAAAAAAACGCTTGGAAGAAAAGTTAAGATTGAATCCCTCAAAAAAAAAAAAAAAAATTTCTTACTGTCATCTCTCCCTATAGTTTAAAACAGAGATACTAATAACCAGCAATCAATAACCTTGGAATTGTACATTCTGTACAGTGTATTCTATATCCTCAGATTTTCCTTCCACTTTCCTTCCTCTCTCCACCCAAAACAACATTACATGTAGGAAAGCTGTATTTACCAGGAACATCTGAATGCCACAGCACACAGTGGAGTTGTCACTTGATGAGTTCAGCAAAACCAGAGAAGGTCAAAACCACATCTTCAGGAATCTTTCCTCTTTTGCTGGTAGATATCCATAGCTACTGTTGTGTGCTCAGTGCTGGAGTGAAATCTCAGCACAGCCAATGCACCTTAGCAGCAACTACTAAGCTCGTATCAAAAATCAAATCAGACATTTCTTCCCCATGTTTGAGTCTCCATGGCATCCTGAGTCATAAACTGTTCCTGGTTCCATTTTAAGAAGCAGTCAAGTCATAAAGAAGCCTACTCACCTGTTGGATCTTCCCTGGGAAGGAAGTTCCTAACTCATTCAAGCTAGAGAACTGAAAGGCTAAGCCACGTGGGTGTTCCTCTGAACTGCCATGTGGTTAGTGCTCCAGAAGGGATAGGCCAAAGCATGAAAACAATAACCAGCAAGATTTGCATAAGGAGAAAAAATAAATCCAAACCTGTCCCACCTGCAGACATTCCATCTTGAAAGATGACTTCCCCCTAGCTGAAACTCTTATTGCATAACTAACAGCATGTTCAGCCTGAGTAGGAGCCCAGCAAGGAAAACTGGGATGTTCTCAAACATATGCTGGAGTTGAGTCTGTGATGCTTATCTGAGTGCAGTCACCACAGCTGTTATGATGCTGTCTGCGAGCACCTGATACTGAAAAAACATCACAGCCACTTCAGATCATGAGACACCGAACAGTTTTGGTTTGTGTTTTTTGACTAGGTTATTTTATGCTGTTTTTAAAGAGGACAACATACCTGGATGGGGACTTGAAACAGAAGGAGAAGTAATTATTCGGCAGAACAGCTGAAGTAACTTCATTAAAAAGGAAACTTTTCCATGTCCTTAAGCAGTATTACTGGTCGTTTCACTTGGACTTTGGACTGAGCACATTCTACAGAAACGCAAAGGGCTTGAGTTGTGAAATGGAGCCCTGCCTGGGCAATTTTCAAGTCCCAGCTCACTGGCTTCTTGAGTTAAAAAGCAAGCACTACAGAGGGTGCAAGAATGAAGCTGATTGTCATGTAGGACCCTGTGGATGTCGTTCATGTCATTATGAGATAGGTACAAGAAATGAGGTGTTAAGAATCAATGCAAAGCAGAGTTAGCTAACACAGAAAGAGCTGTTTGGCATGAGTGAGACAACAAACTGTCACAGTTTTAACTTTATTTTTAGCCTCTGTGAATTTATCAGCTTTCTTAACATCTTCTACAAAGAAGCCACTGATACTTTCTTCTGAAAGGAAGACTGAATACAACGGCAATTAGCTTCTTTTAGAGAATGAAGTGAGAAGGAATTTTTCCCAGAGGCTCTGGCACTCAATCCCACTTACTTTCAGTGGAAGCTGGATGTTGCATGCCTATGGGTGTGTTTGAAAATCCCGACTTGTTACTTGCTGCTTTTCTACCAGGTAGCACAGATCTCAAGAAACCTAGAGCTCACCTGTGTACCAAAGCATTGACTGTCCACTGGTATCAGGAGAAAGGTTTCCAGTTCACTGTCTGTCCCTATGGTGCCAAGTTTGTGCAATCTTTAATTTTAAAAAGCTGTCAACTACACAGCGGATCTGTCTGCCTGCGGGCTGGTGAGAAGGGGGTGCACACACCCTGCACACGGCTGCCAGGAGCAGCCTCAGCTTTGGAAGCAAGCACACAGCAGTAAAGGAGCTGGTGGAGGAGCCATCACCCTTACCGACTGCCTTATCCAAAGAGCGAAACACTTGTGTGCACGGCTGTCAGCCTGCTACCTTCCTAAGCGCCAAATTAAAACTCCAAGTAAAAAACAGCATCGCACTGCTGTTGCACTTGTGGGCTCAGTGCAGGACGCTGGCCCTGCTGCCGCTCCCCAGCCACGAGGGGACGGTGGCACGGCCCGGCCTCCAGCCCAGACACGTGTTCAGGGCACGGCAGCGGGCAGCATCCTGCATCAGCAGCCTGCAGCGGCTGCCGGCACAGCCACGGCGCCGGGAGGCAGCTCCCAAGATTTTTGCAATTGTAATGTTAATTGAATAATGTAGGTCCGAAGGACGGGCCATCAGTCAGGGGAAAAGGCTCTTTGTAGGATGAACCGAGGCCGTTCCCGCCAGGAAAGCATCGCTGGGGGTGGGGGGGCTCCGGGGCAGGAGGGATTCAGCCCTGTTCGCTGCGTACGGGGACAGCCCGAGTAAACAACAGGTTTGGCAGGTCCCTTTAAATCCCTTCAGCTACACACACCAGGACACAGGGGTAGGAGAGGAGACGGCAACTTTTACCTCACCAAAGTGAGAGCGCAACGGGGAGCGCTTTCATGGCTCAAGACTGCGACATTAAAACAAAACAAAAACCCGCCAAACCCTAAATAACAACGGTAAAAAACGCTTAAAAAGACAGAGCTCGGTCGCGCCGCTCCCGCAGGGCACCTCGTGGCTCCGGGCACGGCCCCGCTCCCCCGTTAGCGCCGGCGGCTGGAGCGGCGGCCGGGGCCGGGAACAAAGACCCCCCGGGGCACACGACCTACTTTCACGGGCGGCCCCGCCGGTCAGGTGGAGCCGCGGGAGCGCACACGCGGGTGGCCGCAGCACCCCCCCCGCGTGGGGCTGCCAAGCGCTCAAGTCGCCGAAAGACGAGTGAAATCAAAAATAAATTAGAAGAGCACAGGAAGGGGAAGGCGGCGATCCAGGGAGGAAAGCCCCGAGCGCGGAGGTGGGCGCTGCGAGGCGGCCCCCGCGCTGCAAACGCCGCCCCACCACGCGGTCGCGGAGCAGCCGCCCCATCCGGCGCGGGGGGAGCGGCGAGAAGCGGGGATGGAGCCGCGGCCGCACCGCCGAGCACCCGGACCCCCGTTCCGGCGCAGCGACGACCGTGCCCCGCCGCCCCCCGCCCTTCCCCGCCCGCCCCGCGCCGGTTCCTCATGGCTCGGCCCTGACGTAATTCAAACATGGCAACAGTTTCACTTCAAAGGGCCGTCGCAGACCTCCCGGCAACGCGGGCACGCCGCGACGGGGGCGACGCGGACCCCCAGACCCGGGGGCAGCCCCGGGGCGGCCGCCCGGGCCTGCCCGCCCGCCGGCCGCAGAGCCGTGCGCGCAGCGCGGTTCCGTGCGGAGCGCGCCTGCATCCAAAGTTTCCCCGCCCCTCCAAACTCCTCCAAAATCGGCAGGCAGCCCCTAAAAAACACCGTCCCGCGCACGACAAGTGTTACCCCAGCGACACCCGCCAGCCCGGAGCCGAGCCCCCGCCGGGCGCGGAGGAGCGCTTTCCCCCGGCGCGCCGGGGAGCCGCGCCGCCCGCAGCACATGCGAGCCCTTTGTTTTCCCTGCAGCCGGGCGCTGCCTACGTGCCGCGCCGGGGGCACGCCGCCCGCCCCGCCGCCCGGCGCTGCGCAGCCCCCGGAGCCCCGAGTTAGAACTTGTTGGCGCCAGGCGCGGGCACACGCCGGCAGGAACGGGAGCCGCTTGCGCTGGCACCGAGCTACGGAGCGGCAGGACGCCATCGTCGCCGCTCCGTCCCCACGCCAGCAACGCCGCGCACCGGGCCGGGGGCAGGACGGGGAAGGCCCCACACCGCGACCGGTGCGACCGACAACACGTGTCCCGCCAGCCCACGGCCGCGCGTTTTGCTCCTCTGCAGCGTGCACGGACTCGGACTCCCCCGCAATTACTAATGATAACTGGAAACAATAAGAACTGCCCCACTCTCCCCACGTGAAACACGGGGAGAGAGGGATGGCGGGCACCAGCGTGTCCTCCTCTCCTCCGCCACGCCGCTGGCACCAACTCACGAGCGAGCGCTACAGGTGTGCGCTGCGGGGCGCGCCGGGGCCGCACCTGCGGCACCCGCTCCGCACCGGCGGGGCCACGCCACCCGCGTGGCGGGCCGGGGTAGCCACGGCCCGGGAAAGTTGCCCTGCAGCCCCCGTCATCGCCAAGCAGCCCGGTTTTCCAAACCCGCTCTGCACCTTGGGACTGCTTTCGGAGTTAAATTATGGGGAACTGGCTACTCTTTCCTCCTAAAGACTTGGAGATCTAATTGTACTTTGGGATTGGGGGGGAGGGGGGGGCGAAATCAGAGTTCTAGGGATGGGTCCGCAACAATGCGGGAGGCGCTCCTCTCCGCTCGCGCATCCTTTAAAACTCTACTAATCGAAGAAAAAAAACGGGCGAAACACCGCTCACAGAAGCCACACGCATGTCAAAGTGTTTCAAGGCGGCAAAGTCTTTTTGCCGCTGCAAAACTGGGAACAAGCTCCGAGGAGTGACTCGGAATGAACAGAAACCACCAGCTCACGGAAAAAAAATAAATCCCAGCACCAAAAGAAGAATAATTAAAAAAAAGGAAACCCACCACAAGCAAACAAAACAAGGGAAAAATAATAAAAACGCCCCGAAGAACGCGAAACAAGCAGCCACGAAACTCAGTTTGAGCCCGCCGCTCCCTCCCGCCCGGGAGAAAGGGAAGCATCACTCACCGCCGCGCTGCGCCCACCGACACCCGTGCGGTGCGCGGCGCTCCCGCCGCTGCGCGCGCTCCCCGTCTCCCCGCGCTCTGCCGCCGCGCGAGCCCGCGGGCCCGCGCCCCGCCCCACTCCCGCCCCTCGGCCGCTCTGCGCAGGCGCCGTTCCCACGGCTCCGTTCTCATCAATCGAGCCCCGCCGGCCGCGCGCGCCCCGTTGTCCTTTTAAGGCAGAAAGGGCCGCGCGGGAAGCGCGCGCGGGGGCGGCGCCCGCCCTGGCGGCGGAGGTGACTTCACGCGCGCGGCGCGCGCCCCCGCCCCGCACCTGCCTCGTGCCGCCCCGCCCGGCGCCGGAACGGCCCCCGCGGGACCGCCCCGCAAACACAGCCCCAACATCACCGCAACACAGCCCAGACCCGCAAACACAGCCCCAACATCACCGCAACACAGCCCCAACATCACCGCAACACAGCCCAGCCCCGCAAACACAGCCCCAACATCACCGCAACACAGCCCCA